CTAAATTAAAACCCAGACTCTTCCATGCATTCATAATTTCAGAGCCAAAGACAAGTCATTTACTCTCCCCTTCTCCCAGAGGGGGGGTTTCACACTTCACACAGCATACTTACATACCAATCCCATATGTTATTTATGTATTATTTCTTTTTAGGAAAAAACAAATGCTTCTTTTTGTTTTAGGTTAGAACCACAGCTGATGCAGCTACAAACAAAGTATGATGAACTCAAGGACAGAAAATCATCCCTTAGAAATGTGGCGTATTTCTTACCTAGTTTAAAACAGCTTTATCAAGATTATTCAGATGTTCAAAAGAAAGAACCAAACGTCAAGGAAACGGTAACTTTGATTTTCATTTTTACTGTGCTTCAGAAGATTATTTGCATGCTTAGACTACTGCTTAGAGCTCTGAGGAAAGATAAATGTTGAGGCAACACTACAGAGCCTACCCAAAACAGCATCGTTCTAAATCAAGGGAAAACGTTTGTATCATCACTTTAAGCTATTTCATGAAAACGAGAAGAGTAGATACAACCCAGAATCACTGTTTGTTTGAAAGTATGTACGCTTCAGAGACCCATCTCATCGCAGGAAGAAGTGTACCTTGTGCACAGCTCCCAACTGTACTGCCGTGTTCAGCTTAATTATTGTTCCTGGCAACAGAAGACCACTCAGATGTTTTAAAGACTAACCTCTTATTCTATGTCTAGCCCATGTTCAAAGTATGCTTCATAACTGAAAAACAAGACTATGCCTTATAAATGGTATGAATATAGAAGTTGAGAAATTTATAAAAAGGGCCTAGAGTGTGAAAAAAATATGGTATCTTTTTTCTTTTCTTTTTTTTTGAGAGGTTTTCGCTATAGGACGCGTGCGCTTGCCAGACAGACAGGGAAAGACAGACAGAAAGTGAGAAATCACTCCCCAGGGGGGATGGTCACGCCGCAATCCCTTCTCCTCCATTCTCCTCTTGGGATCTTGGGCACACATGCACACGCGCCTGGTATGAGTTTTAAGCCACCGGGTCTGGGACACAAACCGCGGTCGACTACGTGGGAGTCCAGTGACAAAGCCATTACGCTAACTGCTGGCTCCCGATATGTTGTTTTAATTTTATAGTTGTTTCTGGACTTTTACTGTAGACTGCTGCTGTTATGGCACCCAGCTCAAATTAACAGAAGTGTTTTAGAAAAGAATTTATATATTCATATACCCAAATGTAATTTTATATAAAGTGTGTATTCATAGCTTATGATCAGATTTATATTCATTTCTAAATTCAATTGTAAGGTTTTGACACTGACCTAAGTTAACTCTCCTGAGCCTAAGATTTGTATATACAGTAGAGATCTGGAAATGGAATGTTTATGAGAGTTTTGTGTGTCCAGATAGTTTACTTGGAGTAGGAGAGAAAGCAAGAGGTGAGCTGATTCAGCTTGAATATAATTACTTTGGTGAAAACCAAGATTTAGTGACTCTGCCTTAAAAGAATGTCCTGTTCTTCGTGTGGCCTTGGTGGCTTTTATGCTCCTAGTATACATTTTCCCACACTACACATCTGACATCAAGTGTAGGTTTGTCCTCTCCCAGAGAATAGGTGCCCGTAGTGTCCTGGATTGAATTCTCTAGTAATATGGTGTAACTCTATGCCATTACAAGTTGCATTATGTGGGTAGTCCTCATGGTCCAATGGCTTCTCTCCTCCATGTTCATTATAGCAAACCACCGTGCAAGCATGATTTCAGTAGGAGACTATCCCAAGTATGCTAAGAGTCTGCAGGTAAAATTTAGTCCCTCTCCCTTAGATACAATCTTCAGTCTGTTATTTGTTTTAAAAGTCATGAGTTTAACCGTGCAGAACATTTGAATTGGCAACACTTAATTGATCCTCCCAGTAACGGATTTTCCTAATTTCTTAGGAACGTTTAAGGCCTGGTGTTGTGAGTCCATCAGTTCTTACAAGTAAACGGCCTTGCAGATTTTTGTGTTGTAGAACAGACATGAGATCAGACAGATCCCAGATGGCACAAGCAGACCTGTCCCTACCCAGTCCTCATCTGTCCCAGTCGTTTCTTTTCTATTTTAAATCATTCAGATTGCCACGGTTGTTTGAACCAGCTGGCCTTCTGAGTAGTTCTCTTGCAAGTTTATATTCTCAATTAGGTACTAAGGAAATGGATTAAAACCAATTTTCTTAATGTCCTGGTTTATCAGAATTAGGCTATAAGATTGAGCTATGTAAAAACAGGGCTATAAAATTTGAGATATTTGTTAACCTAAATGATTTTCTTTCAACAGTATGATTCATCCAGCCTTCCAGCGCTGTTATTTAAAGCAAGAACTCTCTTGGGAGCTGAAAACCATCTGCAAAATATCAATCATCAATTAGAGAGGCTTCTTGACCAAGAATGAGAAAGCCAGTCTGCTGAAATGTGCCTGTGTAAGACGAGTCTCAGGCTACTCAGTCACCTTCGGAAACTGGACTTCTATAGATAAAAGTTCTTTTTTGAAAAAAAGTATGGCCTAGCCACCAGAATTTAGTACTGGTCATTAAAAACTAAGTGACTTGACAGTGCTAAATGGCATCAGTTGATTGGCAGTTTCAGAGGCCATCTTTTCTGGCATCTCGAGTAACAAATTTTAAAATACTGACACCTTAATCAGCCTCAGACGTAATACGTTTTAACCTATAAAGTCACTGTGGGGACTGGCAGGTGGCGTGGTCCTTAAGGGCAGGGCGCTGGACTCCCATGTGGCCAACTGTGGTTTGTGTCCCGGACCTGATAGCTTGCTTTCTCCCTTTCCCTCCCTCCCTCCCTCCCTCTTTCACTCTCTGGTCAAATTAAAGTTAATAAATAAAATTAAATGAAATAATTTTTTTTTAAATAATTCTTACAGCAAAAGTCACTGTGAACACAGACTAATTCCGGTTAGTTCATTAGGCGATTTCCACTGAATTTAAGTACACCAAAGCTGTTTTGAATAAGTGGTTTACTTAAATCAGAAATAGAAAACAAACTGATTAAAACTTACTTGGTATAAATAGGATTAATAATAAATTAATATAATTTATCAAATCTCAAGCCTTCAGGCAAGTCAGAGCCCCGGTTCCATCAGCGTCTACTGCTGTAATGCTTCTATAATTAGTTCATCGGGAATTTCGTCCACCACGCTACTGTCACTGAGAAGGCCGTGCTCTGCAGCTTCAGCTAACTCGGCATCTTCAGTAGCTTCTAAAAAGTGGGCCTCGTCTATGTCATCATCCCAGCCAGCATCAGAAGATACACCTGTTGGCAACTTACTCGGGGATGGTTTCTCAGGAGCCTTGGTTTCGTTGTTCCTCGTTTCATCTGCGTCATGTGTTGTAAACTCTTCTTCCTTTATGTCAGCAAGGACGGGAGAGGGAGCAAGTGGGATAGGAAAACGAATGTTAGTGAGAACATGTGATGAATTTATTATATACTCAAACTAAAACGAATGTGCTAGATGAATACTGTCCCCAAAACAGTCACCATGGGAATGAGTACACGGAGTCAAATGTGACTTCCACTGGCGCTCACACACCTGCCACTCCCAACGTGACGTTGCCTGCAGTTCTGTGGCACACTTAAACATCCCTAGATGGGAACAGGGAAGTGTAGACGGCACACATATTTTCCAATCTGTCTTCAGCTGGACTCTGGCCAGCAGACTCATTTCCCTCGTCTATTAAGTCTTTAAAAAAATTAACAGATTGGAAAAAAATTGTCACAAAGAACAGTTTGAGGACACTAGTCAAAACAGGAAGTGGACTGCATATGAGATAGTACGGCACCAATGTTAAATTTCCTGAGTTTTTTTTTGAAAGATTTTTGTGATAGGCATGTGCACTGGCCAGGGAGAGGAAGAGACAGCAAGAACTCACTCCCCCAGGGGGATGGCCACACTGCAATCCTCCTCCTCCATTCTCTTCTCGAGATTTTGGGTACACACACACACACACACACACACGCACTCGGCATGAGTTTTAAGCCGTCAAGTCCAGGACTTGAACCGTGGACTATGTGGGAGTCCAGTGATACAACCATTATGCCGTCTGCTGGTCCCAGATTTCCTGAATTTAATAATGTTACTGTAGCAATTTAAGACTCTTATTCAGCTAGTGCTTACATATTGAGATGAAGGTTTTTAATGCCTGCAACTTTCAAGAGATTCTTTTCTTTGGAGAGGTTTTAGCTATAGGGCACGTGCGCTCGCCAGAAAGACAGAGAGAGACAGAGAGACAGAAAGTGAGAAATCACCCCCCAGAAGGCATGGCCACGCCTCAATCCCTTCTCCTCCAGTCTCCTCTTGGGATCTTGGGCACGCACACACACGCGCCCAGCCCGAGTTTAAGCCACCAGGCCCGAGTCTTGAACCACGGTCGACTACAGGGGAGTCCAGCTACATAGCCGTTACGATAACTGCTAGTCCCAAGATTCTTAAAGGGAGAAGACAGATATGCCTGATGTTAACAAATGGCAAATCTAGGAGAAAGGCAGACAGGGGAGGCTTTATTCTTATGTAACATTTCTGTAAGTTAGATGTCTATTTAAATATTAAAATAATAATAACAGGGACCAGTAGATGGCATAATGGTTACATTGCTGGACTCCCATGTAGTCGACCATAGTTCAAGTTCCGGACCTGGTGGCTTAAAACTCAGGCCAGCTGTGTGTATGTCCCCATGATCCCAAGAAGGGACTAGAGGAGAAGGGACTGCAGTGTGGCCATTCCCCCAGGGATGGTTTCTTGCTTTCTGTCTGTCTCCATGGTGAGCACTCATACCCTATAACAAAAATCTCTCTCTAAATAAAAAAAACAAAAGATCAATGCAATAGAAAAGCAGGTAAATAATAACACTGGGATTTAGTTTAAAATACTAAAAACCTGCAGTTAGCATAATGGCTATGTCGCTGGACTCCCATGTAGTCGACCGCAGTTTGAGTCCTGGACCCGGTGGCTTAATCTCATGCCGGGCGCATGTGCATGTGTGCCCAAGATCCCGAGAGGAGAATGGAGGAGAAGGGATTGCGGCGTGGCCATCCCCCCTGGGGGGTGATTTCTCGCTTTCTATCTCTCTGTCTCTCTCTGTCTGTCTGGCCAGCGCATGCACCCAGTAAGAAAAACCTCTCCAAAAAAAAAAAAAAATACTAAAAACCACAAAACAAAAAGATGAGGCAGAAATGACAAAATGTTAAACTAAGTGATAAGTCATAACTACTTTTGACTTACCTTTTCTTAAATAATGAAAGTTATGACTAAGTAATGGTAATACTTCATACCAATACTTTCAATACGGCATTTTTGGGGTGTTACTAAATAGGCAGAAAAAAATCACTTAAAAATCCACTGAAACCACAAATATTTATCAGACATACTCCAAACCAACCAAAGGTGACACATACTTGTTCCTCTTGAGTGTTTATTTTTAAACATTTCAACGTACTTGTTAACGTTGTCATTTACCAGAAAATCTGTTATCAATTATTTTATGTCCAGCTCCTACAGAACAAGAATGGGATTTCCACCATTTAAAATTTGAATATACCTGTTTTTCAGGAGACTTTAAAAATCAGACTAGTTTGAGTTTTCCAGAATACGAACTCAAGCACCTGTTTGGTGTGTAGCAGGTAACTTTAGCTATGAAGGAAAGGCTGCCAGATGTGACCAAAAAAAAGAACGAAACAATCCTAAAATTAGGTCTGAAGGAAATACAACATATTAATAAGTTCTTAAAAAAAATTATGAAGTGAGAAAAGAGACAGAAATCAGGTACAGCAATTCACGTTAGAAACGAATTGCTATATGGGACCAGCAGTTGGCATAATGGCTATGTCGCTGGACTCCCACGTAGTTGACCACAGTTTGAGTCCCGGACTCATGGCTTAAATTCACACCAGGTACGTGTGCATGTGTGTCCAAGATCCCGAGACGAGAACGGAGAAAAAGGGATTGCAGTGTGGCCATCCCCCTGGGGAGTGATTTCTTGCTTTCTATGTCCCTCTGTCTTTCTGGCTAATGCACGCACCCTATAGCAAAATCCTCTCAAAAAAAAAAAAAAAAAGAAAAAAAAAGAAAGAAATGCTATAAAAAACCAATTCTAGAAAAAAAGCAAATCTAGAAAAAAGGTCAACCTCATTAATAAAGAAATACAAATTAAGGGGACCAGCAGGTGGCATGGTGGTTAAGGTGCTGGACACTCCCACATGGCTGACCACGGTTTGAGTCCTGGACCTGGTAGCTTGCTTTCTCACCTCTCTTTCTCTGTGTCTCTCTCCAGTCAAATTAAAAAACTAAATGGATGAATAAAATTAAATTTTTTTTTGGTCATACCTAATATAGTAAGGGGATCCTGTTAAAAAAATTTTTTGCCTATTCGGTTGGTAGACATCAGAAGGTAAAGGCAAGGGTGACAACAGTTTGGAGTAATAGATGCTCTCATAAATTACATGTGTAACTCTAATTTCCTGTCTGTTGTAGGGGAAGCAATTTGAAAAGAAATGTACTAAACAGTATATGTGCTATAACTTAGAAAAAAATGAGCATGCATAGATACACATACTGGAAGCTACACACCAAAACATTTACGTCAGTCCTCTCTGATCAAATTATGAGCGAGGAAAAAAATGTTTTCCCTTTTTTATGTATTTACTTTTTCAACAATGAATGTGAAGCCTTTGGGTAAGTAAGTCTTGGAAGAAAAGTTAAATGTAGGTTTAGCAATCTGGCAATAACTGCCAAAATCAAAATTGCATATGCTCTTGGACACAATTTGACTTCTAGAAATTCTCAGATATAAATATTCAAAGAAACACAAAAATGATTATTTTTAGCTCATTGTAAACATAAATGACAAACTTCTTTTATGTCAGAGACTGGTTAAATACAGATTTTGCAGTTTCTTACTACGCACCAGTAAAAAAGAATGAGAGGCCATTATCAGATATTTGCTAAGCTGGGAAAATTGCTATAATGTGTTCAGTGAAAACAAAGTAGCAAACACTGTTTACAAGCTACATACATTTAGACACTGCTCACAGTTCATGTAGATACTATTATATCAGAACTAACAATGTAATGACAAAGACACCAAAAACTGCACTTGCCTCTTTGAGAAGAAACTGGAGACATACTTCAGCAGGTAATGGAAAACCTGAGCCAGAAAGAAAAGCTTTTAGATAGCTTAGTCCATTATTACATCAACAGAAATACCCAGACTGGTGATTTATGAAGTAAGGATTTACTGACTAAATTCTGGTGGCTGTGAAGTCTGAAGATGCAGGCCGAGCACCAGGCCAGCCTACACCCAGGCCAACAGAAGCAGAGGGAGGCAGGTGCAGAGAACGAGCCGTGAGCAGCTCGTAATTGTCAGGTTTTGTGAGAACTAACCCCACAGAGAGCTGGAACTCAGTGGTTCCCATGACACGTTGTTAATTTATCCCAGTGGGACCACCATGAGGCAGTCACTACCTTCTAGACTTCATGTCCCAACACCAAACTCTAAAACATGAAACTCTGGGGGACAAACTGATCTAAACCATAAAGTTTTTTTGTTAAATCACACATGTACTTATGGGGGCGGGGAGATGGGTAGCTATCAGTCTCTGGAGGATGGCCACACCACAACCCCTTCTCTACTCTCCTCTCAGGGTTTCAGGCATGCACAAACACATGTTCAGGGCTCGAACCGCTCAATCAGCTCTGTGGGATTCAGCCACCTTAACCACCATGCCACCAGATGGCCCCAAGATACCTGATTTTTACTTTGTGGTAAATTAAAGAATTAATATGGGACCAGCAGTTAGCGTAATGGCTATGTCGCTGGACTCCCATGTAGTTGACCACGGTTTGAGTCCCTGACCCGGTGGCTTAAACTCACGCCGGACGCATGTGCGTGCATGCCCAAGATGCCGAGAGGAGAATGGAGGAGAAGGGATTGCGGCATGGCCATCCCCCCGGGGGGTGATTTCTCGCTTTCTGTCTGTCTCTGTCTGTCTGGCAAGTGCACGCACCCTATAGCAAAAACCTCTCCAAAAAAAAATTAAAGAATAACTCACAATCAGATTTGAAGTTTTCTGCTTTACATACAGGATCATGACATTTTTGATACCAAACTTCATTTTTCAGATCTACCAGAATCCTTTAGGTTAAAAAAAAAAAAGTATTAACACCTGGACTGGACTGAAAATAAAATCCAGCTACTTGGAGTCTCAGCTTTGACATTAAATGTGAAACAGCAAAATTACTCACATCATGAATGATAACTACTGGATTTCTATTTTACCCTTATTCTTTTTAAGCATTATTTCATTTTATTTATCTTTTTTTTTTTCATTTGTTACAGGACACATGTGCTTATCAGAGAGAGGGAAAGGGAAAGTGAGAAAGCAAGCCATCAGGTCCAGGACTCAAGCCACGGTTGGCCATGGGAGAGTCCAGCGCCCGCCACCCACTGGGCTATCTGCTGGCCCCTATTTTACCCTTATTCTAACCACATCCTTTTGCTATTGAAAATTCTTTCCGATTCTACTTCCTCCTTTTAATTCCTCTCATTTTTCCAGGAGCATTGAACGAAAATGCTAAGACATAGCCTGGTGGACACAGCAAGCATCCAGCACACAGGATTCCCTGAGACCCAGGGCTCTGTTGTGAACAAGTTAACATCACACAACCTCCAACTCAGCACTCCCTGAGGCGCTTCCTTCGTGCCCAAATCTGCCTGTTTCAATCCACATTCCATAAGGTGCCAAGGGCCAGAGGCAACACAGAAAGAGAGGTATCCATTTTCATCAGCGTCACTAGTTCCCCGCCTGCTGCCTCTCCTCACCTTTTTCCAGCCTGGGAATTCTACCTTAGTCTTTTCATATTATACTATCTAAGGGATTCTTTTATCAAGTACAAATAAAGATGATATGTGCTAGAAGCAAGTAATACTGGGTTGTCAGAAAAGTCAGGGCTCATTTTTGCATAGAAAAATATATCATGACTTTTCCGACGACCCAGTAATTAAGATACTCATATTATGGAACATCAACCAAACACAAATATAAACTGAATTACAACTAAACTTATTTGAAGAAACAATTTATGTTGCCGACTTTATTTAAAAGTTGTGAACATCTGAAATACAACGTTGGCTAAATACATGTAATTCATCAACAAACAATATTACTTACATGATGTTATTACTCTTGTGGGCTCTTCCAATGTTTTCACACCAGCGGTATCTACAAATATCATAAACCAGTAATTCTTCTGGGAAAAAGTAGTTCCAGCGCCGAATCCCTGAAATGCAAACAATGACTTCTAAGTGTAGTACCTCTAAACGGACTAAGCGTACTCTACCATGTAACAGTTAATGAGTAAGATTAGCTTTACCTCCTTTAATGTCATTTTTATTCACCAAAGAAAGAACAAAATGATCAACTTCAGGGTAGGGTGAACACTGAAAACCTTCAATGGTTTTTACTGTAACAGAGAAAAGGATTATTTTAATAGCTGAAAGTTGAGAAGTTCAACTTCAATCAGATTTTTCTTTAGTATAATTATGGGTTTTACAGCCCCCAACGTTCCCCCCCCCTTTCAGCCCTCAGGTGTTTATTTCCCCCCCTCTTCATCATATGCCTTTCAGTCAGTTCATAGGTTCCTATTACCCTACAAGGAAGAAGGTAAAAACCAAAAGTCTGAATTAGGCCAGGTGCTCATTTTCATAAAAAGCATTTGAAATAGGAACAGCCCCACAGGGCAGCGATTAAGGGTTGTACGTTGGGAACCAGATACCACATGGCGACAGATTCAACTCTGGCCCTACCTGCTTGAAAAACCCCCGAAGTGTCTGTGTGCATCCCTGAGTTCCTGGCCGGATGGAGAAAAGAGGAAAAGGGCTGGGGGTGGGGGGTGCTTTCTCTCTTTTTCTACCTCTTTGGCAAGCCTATGCACCCTCTGGCAATATAACATTTTTAAAGCGTGTGAAATCATTTTGACTCCTTTCTTCATTCTAACCAAAAACATAGCCCCTCACACCCAGGACTCAGCCCGGACTCGGTGGTGGTCTCCAGGTGGGCACCATCGACTCCACGGAACTTCACCATCAGATAAGGCCACCGTGGTCACGAGCACGTGAGACAGAAACAGGACCACTCTCTCCTCGTGTCTGCACACACACACAGCAGGAACATTTTCCAAGCCACAGAGATGACCAAGCGCCCCCTACCTGGTTAGTATGAGGAACTGCTGCTGCTTACTACGGGGTGTCCGAAAAGTCCTGACGCATTTTTGCATAGAAAAATACAGGAAAAAATCGGCCATGACTTTCCCGACAGCCCAATAATCAGAGCTTTAGCATCTCTCTATTCCTTCTAGACAAGATGTGTTAAGAAAGCCAATGAGGGACCAGACAGTGGTGCAGCAGTGGAACGCTACGAGGCCGCTCCACATGGCAAAGGCCCTGGTTCAAGTCGGGACCTCTCTGAGCACACCAGCCACACATCCCCCCCGTCGGAAGCTGGCTGAGGCAGGGGTGGAAGGCCACATCAGGACCCAGTTGGGGGTTCTTGTTCTCAGAAGAAATAAACAAACTTAAAAAAAAAAAGGTCAAAAAAGAAATTAACCAATCATAAAGTCTTCTCTGGCAGCACTGAATTCAGAACAATGCCACACCTTCTTGTGTCCTCCCTTGTAAATCCCACATCCCGGAAGTCCCTTCTGAAACACCTACGAGGGTGCCCGACAGTCCCCTGTTGTGCCTTCGTCATTGCTTCAACCAGCAATCGACCAATCTGCTCAGTACCAGACCTGCTTCCTGTGCTCTAGGATGAAGTCAATTATCTTTTTTACCCAAGAAGTTACTGAAATAATTAAGAATTGAAAGAATTGAAAGTTTACTTTTTAAAATTTATTTGCCAAAAGACTTGTGCCCTCACTAGATAAGAGGCAAAAAGAGAGCGGGCGGGAGAGGAAGAAGCGCCCTCCAGTGGCGTGTGGTCATGCCGTGGCCCCTTCTTTTTCTTTTTTTTGGAGAGTTTTTTGCTCTAGGGCGCATGCATTCACCAGACAGACAGAGAGAGAGAGACAGAGAGACAGAAAGTGAGAAATCACCCACCAGGAGGGATGGCCATGCTGCAACCCTTTCTCCATTCTCCTATCGGGATCTTGGGCATGCACGCTCATGAACCTGGTGTGAGTTTTAAGCCACTGGGTCCAGGACTCGAACCGCAGTCGACTACATGGGAGTCCAGCGACATAGCCATTATGCCAACTGCTGGTCCCATGCCACGGCCTTCTCCATTTCTCCACCCTGTTAAGATTTGAGGTATACGTGCAACTGGCAGGGTTTTCAAGTCACTGGGGCCAGGATTGAACCGTGGTCGGCCATGTCAGATCTGACTCCCTTAACTAGGCTTGAGGCCAGCCCTCATTAAAGTTTTAAAGATGAATATAACCTACTTTTCTTAAATGAAGTACGTTTCAGCTACAAAAATCATAGTTGGAGAAATTTTGAAAAACACATCAAAGTAAAAATGAAATTCCAAATAAATGTCTAGAAATAGATATTAAACAGTCAAAAGAAATTAACATATAGCAAAATGTTACCTATATTTTTCAGTAAGTTTGCAATTAGAACATACATATAATTTTGGAGCCTAGCTATTTTCATATCATAAATGGCTGTTCGGTTTCTTATATAGGTTTTATACATGTAGATTCAAGGCTACTGCGCATTTCACTGTGCGCACCGAATCTTGGTATACGTTTAGACTGTTTTCAGTTTTTGACTATTATAAACAACAATATACCAACATATGTATACAAATGTTTACTGAGGGGTTTACGTAAGAATTTTTGAAATAAAACCTCTCTGGGGCCAGCTGGTAATGTGGTGGTGAAAATTGCTGGATCCCACATGACCAACGGTGCAATTCGAGTCCTGGACCCGGTGCCTTGAGAAACACACCAGGCACGTGTGTGTGCATGCCCGAAATCCCAAAAGGAGAGACAGACCGGAGGAAAGGGAATCACAGTGACTCGTCCCAATGGGGAATGCTTTCTCACTTTCCTTCTCTCTCTCTGTCTCTATGTCAAGTTTAAAAATGAAACAAACAATAAAAACTCTATATGCCTCAATACAGGTAAATTACAAAAAAGCCTTACCATGAAAAACTATGTAAACAGGGACCAGCAGTTAGTGTAATGGCTATGTCGCTGGACTCCCATGTAGTCAACCATGGGTTGTGTCCCGGACCCGTGGCTTATACTCATGCCAGGCGCGTGTGCGTTCATGCCCAAGATCCCGAGAGGAGAATGGAGGAGAGGGGATTGCGGTGTGGCCATTCCCCCTGGGGGGGGGTTCCTCGCTTGCTGTCTGTCTCTGTCTGTCTGTCTGGCGAGCGCACGCACCCTATAGCAAAAAAAAATCTTCAAAAAAACAAAAAAAACTATGTAACCATTCAAAATGCTATCCTGGAAAGGTGCTGGGTTACACAGGAGACTACTACAGTGGTTAGCAGTCTTCAGCTGCATGCCGAGGGGTGAAAGAACAGCTAGTCTTTATTTTGGTATGTGTTTATTTCATACAAAGAACCTACATTATTATTTTTAAATTTGTTATAGGGCGCATACACTCACAGCAAAGGGAGAGTGAGAAAGCGTCTCTGCGGGGGATTGTCACAGCACAATCTCCTCCTTCATTCTTCTCTCCTTTCAGGATTCTAGGCACACGCATGCACCCAGGGTGTTTCTGGGTCTAGGACAAACCACACAGTAAGTGGGATCCGGCCACCTTAACCACCACCCCACTGTCTGGGGTGAAGTGATAAGACTGAAATATAATCCTCATCATTCTTCTATTTTGTGAAAAACCCCATAAAGTAAAAATGTGTGAAAAATAGTAAACTTTTCTTTTTTTACACATTTTCCATTTTGGATAGAAATCTAGAAGTTGTTTTAAATGATCAGGTGGATACTTAAAATTTTTTAAAGACAAAATGGATTCAATAGCCTTACATTTTTATAGGAAGTGTTTTTCTTAAAACTACCTGAAGCGGTACTATTAAAACGCTCAACTTGCTCTTCTGTATGCTGAGATGTGTCACATGTAAGAATTCGTAAAGTATCTGAGAATCTGCAGAAGAAAATATATAAACAAAGTCACATTATAATAGAATTTAAAAATCGCAGCTACAGAAATGAGGGCTAGCACGGTATGATTACTTCATGTGACAAAAACACAAGGTTGTTTTGTAATGTAAAAGTCTAAAAGGCCAGCCGATGACTTGATAATTAAGGTGGATGGATCCTACAATACTCAACCTCAGCTCAAATCCCAGACCTGGTGACTTGAAAAACATGTTGGCGTGTGTGCATGCATACCCAAAATCCCAAGAAGAGATTTCTTCCCATGGAAGAGAAGGGAAGAACATGGCCATCCTCTCAGTGGGGATGTGGGGTGGGGGCGGGGTTGGTGGTTCCTCACTTTCCCCACATGTATACATTTTCAGGCTGGGCAGGGCATCTGAACCTGCAGGGCACATGGATTACCGCCTATGGTGGTAACTGGGTTACTTCTGTGCACAGTGGTTGGAGATTCCAAATAGTTTCATATTGATATCCTTTGCTTGACCTTTTTTTAAGAATTACTTATTTAATTTTATTGTTATTATTTTTAATTTCCTTAAGGGCTTACCAGAGACAGAGAGAGTGAGTGACAGAGAAAGTGAGAACGCAAGCTGCCAGGTCTGGGATTTGAACCTGCAACCAGCCAAGTGGAAGTACAACACCTTAACAACCACACCACTTGCTGGCCCTGACTCGACATTTCTTAATAATTTTGCCCATAAAAGCAGCAGTCCTATCCATAAGAGCAGAGTATGACTTGTCAGTTAAAGAAAATTTAAAAAGTAAAAAAAAAAAATGTATCAAGTTGAATCTGAAGTATCTGAAATACTTTCCTCAGTTACAGTGAATCAGGACTCTATAATTGAAATGATAGACTGAAACATAATCCTCTTCCCCAAACATAGACAGTCTTTGAAGTTCTTGTTACAATAATTTAAGTACACTGTTGGTAAGAATGTAAATTAGTACAGCCATTATAAAAAATAGCACGGAGGCTCCTCAAAAAACTAAAGACTGGCATACGATCCAGCAAGCCCACACTAGGCATGTATCAAAAGGAAAGGAGTGAAGTACGTCGATGACATGTCCGTACTCCCGTCTGCTGCCACATTATTACAATAGCCAAGATATGGAATCAACCCAGGTGTCCATCAGGGGCTGAAGAAAACGTGCTATGGGCTGACCACCTGGCCTAGGGGTTAAGGGAGCTGGGTCTCAAATATCTGATCATGTGGTTTAAACCCCAGCCCCAGTGGCTTGAAAAATACACCAGGGCCATGTGTGTATGTTCCCAAAGTCTCCACGGGATGAAGAACTGGAGGGAAAGGGATTATGACAGGACCAGGCCCCACCCAGGAGAGCTTTCTCCTTCTCCCTCTTTTTTCTTTCTGTCTCTCTCTGGAGAGTACATGTATCCACTGGCAATTTTAAAAAAAAAGAAAGAAAAGACAAAGAAAATAAGGTATATACATACAATGGAATATTAGTCATAAAAAGAGTGAAAATAAGCCAGACACAGAAAGACAAATACTGCATGTTCTCGTGTGTGTAGAAGCTAAAAAAAAGTTGACCTCATAGAAGCAGAGTAGAAGAGTGGTTACCAGAGGCTGGGGACAGTGGCAGAATAGGAGAAAGGTGGGAGTTAGCAGCTAAAAAAACTAGTTAACAATAATAGGAGGATTGAATCCTAGTGATCTATATAGCACAATAGGGTGACTGTAGCTAATAATTCACTATATACTGTATTTCAAAATAGCTAAAAGAGAGCATTTTGAATGTTTCCAATACAAAGAAATGATAAGTAATTGAGATGACAGATGTTAATTAACCTTAATTTGATCATTATACAGTATATACATTTGTCGAAATATCACACTGTGACCCATGAATATGTACAATGATGATGTGTCAAAGTAAAATATAAGAAAAACAGGGCGGGCAGGTGGTGTGGTGGTTAAGGGCGCTGGACTCCCATATGGCTGACCATGGTTCGAGTCTCAGACCTGACAGCTTGCTCTCTCTCTCTCTCTCTCTGTCCCTGTCTGGTCAAATTAAAATAAATAAATAATGTTAAATAAATAAGGCAGCTGGATCCCCCATGGCCTACTGTGAGGTTTGAGTCCTAGACCCAGCAGCTTGAAAAACACTCCAGACATGTGTGCATGCATGCCCAAATACTGAGAGGAGAATGGAGAAGAAACTTCAGTGTGGCCATCCCCACAAGTGGGTATTTAGAGTGCTTTCTCACAGACCCCCACCCCCACCCAAATCTCTCCAGCAACCATGCATGCCCTATAGCAAAAAAAAAAAAAAAAGGAAAGAAAGAAAAAAAAAAAAAAAGAAAAAAAAAAGAAAAAAAATTCCTTTTTCAACCT